CCCGGGGGGGGGGGGGGGGGGTTGCACATATCTGACGTTCGCGAATCGTGCGCCGGCGCTGGGAGGGGCGGTCCGATACGTCAAGGAGGATAACATGATTCACTCTCGCGACGGTGATGGTGGTATCAACGTCTATTTAGAAAACTCTCGTACACGCGCGGTGACCTCCAGCAGTGTTGCCCGGAACAGTACAACGTGGGGTTCCGGTGTAGTGCGGTCAACACGTCTATGGCGACCTGCACGCAGTCAGAACTACATGTTACAGTGCTCCAACCCGTCCCGTGCTGCATGACCGGCAGATCTCGCCCGTCTTCCGTGTTCATGTCCAGCAATCCAAATACCTCACAAGACGCAAAACTTTGTCGGTCGCGCCATGTATGCAGATGGGGGGGCGACGGCCAGAGAGAGGCAAGTACAGAAAGAAACCTTGCAACTAACGATGCCGAAACTAGAGGATGGTCGCTGGACAACGGACTGGTGATTGACGTCGAGAAGAGACGAAGCGTACGCAAGCGTTCCTGCCCGCGAAAAACTGTCTCCACCACAAATGAGATGGCAACAACAACAAAAAGAAATCGCACCACAATTGGGACGGCAACAACAAAAAATAAGATCGCGCCGCACCACACACCTGCACGTACTGCACGAGCCCCACCACGAGCACCGCCGACATTGTCCTTCTCGGGTTAGGATATGGTCTCGTCAGGTACAGCAGGGGGGTTCGCACGCACACGAAGCTGTCGGCCGGAGGGAGGAAACGAGACAAGCGAGTAAGAGAGGGGGGGGGGGGGGGGCGGGGGGAAAAAAAGGCAGGGAGGGGGGGACGGAGGGGGGGAGGGAGGGAGGGAGGGAGGGGGAGCGGGGGGAATAGTTTGCAGCAGGGCACAAGTATAAACAGTAGATGTGCGATCTGTGGAAAAGCGGCACAGATCCACAACACGCTTACCGAGGTCTTGCGCGGAAAAAACATCGGTATGTATCGATCTGTGTATGTCCCGCACGCACTCAAACACACACCGCCGCCCCCCTCTCTCTCGAATGTTCTGCGTAATCCACACACACACCCCAACATGATCGTCCACAACTTAAGAAATATCTTGAGGGTGCTTTAACGTAATGAGGGCCAAGGCAGTGCCCAGAACCAGTAGAAACTACAGCTACTTGGTGGATGCTACTGGTGGATGTTCCATATCCCCCCCCCTCTCTCGGACGCATGGTCAAAAGACCCGGCAGGCTTAGCCCTTTTCAGCACCATCGCCACAGCCCATAAACTCAGAACAAACCAGGCGAAAAACGACCGCCACTTAAAAAAGGCGTACGGAGTACTCGCACAAACAGCCTTCTGCGTAACAAGCCACTACAGCACACCAAGCGAACCGGCGTGGCGTACACGTAGCCCAGCCCCCCCCCCCCCTCCTTACTGCTGTACCTCTGCAGGCGATCGGCGAGACCGTCCTGCCTCGCCGCCTCCAAAAAGCTCTGCCACTTGAGGTGAAAGGGAAACGCCTGGCTAATGCCGGGGTCCCGGTGGAACACGCCCCCCACCCTCTCGGCTGGCATGTATATATGTTTTTTAAAAAAAGGACAAAAAAGGGCGGGGGCGGGGGGGGGGGGGGGGGACCCCTACCCCCCC